CCAAAAAAAGATAAAATTATATATTAGTCGGGCTTACCACAATGCATAAACTCTTTGTAAACTGATCATCTAAGTACTTTCAAGTCAGATCCAAACAGATTATACTTAGATTTGAGACGGGCATACCAATAAGATGGGTTCGTTTCCTCTTTATCCGTTTCATATTCGTTGTAAATAAATTAACTTTGTTTTGATTCTTGATTTAATATTTATGTTGAGTAGTTATTTGTAACAAGATGAAACCTTTGAATCATATCTCACCTTCATTGAAAAATGATCGTTTTTAACTTCTCTAATGCAAAGATGTAAATATTTGGTATGTAACACAGATTCCGCATTTCCGGTAACAACTACAACTCTCGATACAGAGCACGAAGTAGCGATTGCTTTGGGAAGCAATGTTGGAAACAGAATGAATAATTTCAAAGAAGCTTTACGATTGATGAAAAGTTATGGGATTCATGTAACGGGGCATAGTTGTTTGTACGAAACAGAGCCTGTTCATGTAACTGACCAACCCAAGTTTCTCAATGGTGTAATAAGAGGCTTAACAAAGCTCGACCCTCATGAGCTTTTGAACGTTCTCAAGAAAATTGAGAGAGAAATGGGTCGTGAGGAAAATGGTATAAGGTATGGACCAAGACCACTTGACTTGGACATATTGTTCTATGGGAAGCTTAGAATAAATTCTGATAAACTTATTATTCCTCATGAGAGAATTTGGGAAAGACCATTTGTATTAGCACCTTTGGTAGATTTGCTTGGTTCAGATTTTGATAATGATCATATAGTTGCACATTGGCATTCACTCTCAATGCTTCAAGGTGGAATCTTCCAAGCTTGGGAGAGATTAGGTGGCGAATCATTGGTCGGAAAAGACGGTATACTACAAAGAGTTTTACCAATAGGTAGTGACCAATTGTGGGATTTTTCTACGAAAACTTATGTGATGGGTATACTTAATCTTACTCCTGATAGTTTTAGTGATGGAGGACAGTTTCAGTCAATAGATTATGCGGTCTCTCGGGTCCGTTCTATGATATTTGAAGGTGTAGATATAATCGATATCGGTGCACAATCCACACGACCAATGGCCTCGAGAATTTCTACCCAAGAAGAGTTAGATAGACTTATTCCAGTTTTAAAAGTTGTTCGCGGTATGCCAGAGATGAAAGGAAAACTCATATCCGTGGACACTTTTAACTCTGAGGTTGCTTTCGAAGCAATAAGAAATGGAGCTGATATTTTGAATGATGTATCTGCAGGAAGTTTAGACCCTAATATGCATAATGTTGTCGCTAATTCCGATGTTCCTTATATGGTTATGCACATGAGAGGAGATCCATGTACAATGCAAAACAATGAGAATTTGCAATATAATGATGTATGTAAGGATGTTGCTTCAGAGCTTTATTTGAGAGTAAGAGATGCAGAACTCTCTGGGATTCCAGCTTGGAGGATCATGATTGATCCAGGAATTGGATTTTCAAAGAGAATTGATCACAATATAGATATTATCATGGGTTTGACAAAAATCCGGAAAGAAATGGGTAAGAAGAGCATAGCATTGTCTCATGCACCTATGCTCATAGGGCCTTCAAGGAAGAGATTTTTGGGAGATATTTGTGGTCGTCCTGAAGCAAGTGAGAGAGATCCAGCAACTGTTGCTTGTGTTAGTGCAGGGATATTAGGAGGTGCCAATATCATAAGAGTTCATAATGTTAGAGATAATGCAGATGCAGCAAGGCTATGCGACGCGATGATGAGAAGAAAGATGTGCGAAGGATGATTAGCATGGTTTAAGAACATATTGCTTTGCCTCATAAGTATTAGTAGTTTGATTATATGTAAGTTTCCATTTTTAAGAATCAAATGAAAACATTAGTAATCTTTCGAGAATCACACATCAATAATTTATGTTTGAAAATGTATTCCACTAACCTCAAACTTTATCGAGACACAAAATCTAAAACTGTTAAAGGGAACTTGAAAAAAAGAAGGGTATTTGATCTTCTCTAAAGTAGTTATTCATATGCGAAGTGACATCATAAATCTATCAACATTCAGGAAAAATAACATCAGCATAAACAATTTTCTTGGGACAATGATGCACATGTACTCAAAACATCTTTGAACCACACACCAAAGAAAACGTGAGTAGCGTGAATTTGAAATGTGATGGAAACGTGAGTGAGTACATGCCTTGCTTTGCTTAACCCACTCAATCATCACTTGCCACTTTACTTCTATAATTATATAATGTGGAAGTGGATATACACATTACCAAGTGGGTATTGGTCTAGTGGCGTTTCGTAGGACATATTGCGTTTGCTAGAACGATGGTTTGTTCGATTCTCCGTAGAAAGGACGTCGTTTCTTTGGGATGGATCACATGCTGGCTCATGACCGAAAGAAATTATAGGCCAAAAGGGTACCGGTGGGATACATTACATTAATACAACACTCTTTGATTTTAATATTTTCACTATGTTCCCATGCTCGAAGAACTCCATAATGAATACAATTGTTAAAAATAAAAAAATCATTGTTAGAAACTCATCGATATATGCTACTTCTTAAATTGCTGGTGCAAAAAAATTATAACTAAAATGATAAATATGGTAGAACGAAATATAAATATATTTTTAGAAAATTTAACAATATATGTCGAATAGAATGGAATTAACGTTACATTCATTTTTTTTACTCATAAATAAACAAAATTCAAAAATGATATATTTCAACTATATACATGGAGAAGAATGAAAGAGATAAATTATTCATTTATTTTTCATATATCATTTCGTTACGTTTCATTCATCTTGATTTCATTTTTTAATGCGAACCAATCAATTATATTTAAAGGGATGTTGTAGATGGTTTTTCTAATAAAGCTTGTAAAATTTGTGATTTCGAAAGAAAATAAATGTCTCTTAGTTAGTTTATATGCATAAAACATGTAATTTGCATTGTTTATATAATAGCGAAAATCAAAAATGAACGATTGCAAATTTTCATGCGTTGCGATATATTTAGAAGAATATGCATCGACATTGCATTATAACAATGTTGATATGTTGCATCAAATTTTAGCAAAGAAAAACAATGTTGATATGTGTTATGAAGGTTGAGCAACAAAATGTGTATTAAGG